TTTCCTTTTCCTTTCCCCTTCTCTCAACGTAATTTTTCAACATTCTCTCTCATAGAGTCGTTGGCATCTTGGCAAGCAAATCTAGTTTTTGAACTTATTCAATTTGAAGAAATTTTTTGACAAATCTGATTCAAGAATGTTTAACATTTGTTTTTTTTTTGTATTTTTTAACAATTTTGATTCAAGAATATATTTGACTGTCCTAGTGCAAGCTTTTGTCTTTTTTATATAGATATTTAAAAAATGGTAAAGAAACCATAAAAAACGATATTACTATTAGCACATACATATATTCTTGGTAGTCCTCAGTAAGGATGTTTTTATTGATGACGGTTTGTTTGGGTTAAGAGGAGTGAAGAAGAAAGGACAACGAAAGGTTTAAATCATCCTTCATTCATTCACACACAACACTACTTATTTTTTATAGCATTAATAATATATTGTTTTACCTCTTGTATGTGAAAAATAAAAATGAAATTTTGGGGGTTTTTAGTTTGGTTGGACGAAAATGAGGAAGCAAAAGAGAAAAATAAAGGGAATGGGGAAGGAAACGTAAACGGAATTGGGGAAGAAAAGCATAGGGAGGAGAACAAGAGCAATTGCAGATTTTTAGTTGATAAGGAGTGAGAGGAGCTGCCAGCTAATTGAGAGATAAGTCCCATTTTTGTTTTTTTTTTCTTATTTTTTGACTTTTGTGTGTTTCCCTGGACTGACTGATGACACGAATGGTTGGCTTAGTGTTGCAAATTTTTGTGTGTGTTTTCTAAGGTTACTTTTGTAAAGCTTTATTGCAACTCTTGTGAATTCTTACATAACATGGGTCTGTTACTTTCATGTATTTATTGTAGCTTGGCTAGTGTGAGTTTTGTATATGTAGGGGATTTTGTGTAAAGAGTTAAGGGTGATTTGGCTTTTATGCTTGCTTTTTGCTTCCAGACATATTGTACAAATCACCATCATGTTTTGTTTCTCTGAAAAGGGATTTTTCTTCCCCAAATTGAATGAATCTTCAATCTTTCAAAGAAAAAAAAACAATACCTAAGAATTTGGTAGAGTTGGGGTTTACTTGAGTGGTTTGTATAATAATTGGTTGATATAAAATTAAGCTTGGATTCTTTGCCTTGTGAACCATAATAAATAACAATACATTCAAGAATTCAAATTTGGCTCCTTAGCTCTCAAGGTGTAACTTTGGCATCATCCATGACTAGTGTGTGTAATGTCTTACTTAAAGTATTGTCATTCAAAATTTTTTGAGGCATTAATGTGCACCCAAAATTGGTTGAGGAATGAAATTGAAGGTAAAAATATACTAATAATTTTTTCATTTGTTTTATAAAAATATTTATTTTATTTCAAGTTACATAATTTTTCATCATTTTAATTTGTGTAAGATCTTTAATTGGAGGTGAACTTTGCAGAATTGATGTTGAGGAAGAAGAGGAATTCAAATGAAATTTATGATGTATTTATGTTATATGTTTAAGGTTGAATATGAAGTTTGATGCTAAATTTGCATTAATTTTATGTTGTATTGTTGTTGATTTTAATTGTGGAATAGTTTTTAATTGTTAGTTAATAATCTATGAATTAATGTAGAACATTTATTATTTGGATTACGAGTTTGGGTTCAGGCTATTAAACGAATATCTAAATACTAAAAATTTACTTTGTATAATCGGGTAATTAACGAATTTGGGTAATTAATGGGTAGTGCTATTCTAATAGGGTTCAGTTTTGGGTTGTATTTCTTAATTTTATCTACATTTGTATAGGGTTCAAGTACTTTAGTATTTAAATAGTTTCGGGGTCCAGTACTTCAAAAATAGCAAGTTCCTTACCCATTTACATCTCTTACCATTGGGGTTAATTGTGCTTTTTGATTATGACCTATACTACAAGGGTTAAGTATGGTTGTAACATGTTAGAAGAGATTAATAAAATTTAAAGTTATTGTAAAATTATGCTTTGTTCTATTATTCGAAAACTTGCAATTATGACAGTTCTGTTATCAGAAGTGAAATTATATTTACTTTTGTTATTTAAAAATGAATTTTAGAATAATATGATTCTAAATAAAATTACTCAAAAATCTATTTTGATATCTATATGAGTATCAATAATTTTGGTATAAATGTTTTAAGCATGTCTAATCTAATTGAAAGGATGATAGTTACTTGCTGAGTCGTTATACTAATTCCTTTTTTCATCTTTTTTTTATAGGTAGTAATTTGGTCAACCATGTAAGAATTTTAAGGATTGATGTTTTGTAATCTAGCTTATCAACTTTGAACCATCTTAAATTAGTCATTTAGGCCTTTATCTCAACATGTTAGTTTCATAGTATAGAAAACTTAATTATGAACATTGTCAAATTAAGACCCTTTAAATTCTGTTAATAGATTAAGTTTTTATGAATTATTACTTTTTCATATATATTGGCTCTCTTTTGTTAGTTGTATAAGATATATGTTTTTGAGCTTTATATGTCTATAGGATTATATTTTACAAGTGTGCAGCATCTGTTATGCCTCGGGTTTGGGGAGTGATATTTATTTAATAGGATATGTCTATAAAAAAAACATATTTTTGGTTATAAATAAGATTTTTTAGTTTTATGAAAATATACATAAACAATTTGTAATCAATCTTTCCTCTTACTCTAAATATTTCTCAAATTGCTTCTTATACTTTTTTGCTGCAGAAAAACTTAATAAGAATTTGATACTTTTGTCATACGTTAATAAGTGCTTAGTGAATTGATTTTGTCAATACTAAACACAATCAATTATTGAATTTTATTATATCTTTTAAGTTTGTTGACTGTAAATCTTTAATACACCAACAATTGAGATGAGTAAAATCAAAAGATAGCGGCATTGATACATACTTTGAGGTCATTCATAATTTTTGGTATTTTCAGTCCTGTGTTCCTACATTTGTGCATAAATTTTTTCTTAATATTAAATTACAATTCGATTATCAAATTGATTTTTTGTCTACTTATGCTCTTATTAAAGGCTTACATTTGAGTTTAGCTGAATTGTATAATTGAGTAATTGTTATGCTTATAATCCATAAATTGACAACTTGTATTTGCTTGCACCAAATGGAGCTGATATGTTTGAATAAAAAGTTTAAGAAACAAGTACTATTAAGTTTTGAGATTTCTAGATGAAATTTTTTTATTTCTTTTATTTCTATTTTTTCCATGCCTTGGTTGTGTAGCACTTGTTTTATATTAGTAAATAACATATGAAATCCAATTATCAAGCATTTGGTATGAAAAAGTGAGAATACATTCTTATAATGTGTCTAATTAAATTACATTGTAGTGTTTATTTTGTAAAACCACTATAATGTAATATTACAATGTAATCATATTACAACTAATAGATATAATGTGATTGCAGTCCAAAATCAATGCAATTAAATTGTATTGTATTCTGTAATATTATTAAAAACATTTTTATCCTTCAACTTTATTACTTTATTAAGACATTTTGCAATGTTATAATTTGTTTTTCATATAGATATCGAGAGATGTTTCCTTATTTGCCTTAGTAACCATTTTCTATTAAATGATGGATGGTGATTGTCAATAAAATTTAGATTGTCTTATAAAGGAAAAAGAAATTAAATTAAAATATATAATATAAGAAATTATATTAAGAAATAAAAATAAAATATATAAGATTATAATAAGAAATGAAAATAAAATATATTACATTAAAAATATATTTAAGAGATGATATTATCCAAAAATTAAAAAAATACAAGTATATTAAACTTGCATTTTAATAAATAAAGATAATTTTGAAATTTAATATTATATTCCCAACAAAGTATTTATAAACTAGACGTTGCAATGTTATCTTTCCTGCATTTTAATTATTACTTTTTTTATATACCAAACTTTGCAATGTTATCTTCCCAACAATTATATTACTTGTAATTACATTACTCACGATCAGATTACCTGTGATGATATTGCATTCTAAGATACCAAACATCACTTTAGAGTTTCAAGACTACTTATATCTTTTCGTAAGATGTATGCATAGGAAACATTGTTATATTTTATAAAAAAAAATGGCTTGAAGAATAGTTTGAGTGCATTCAAGTCAATTCCTTAAAAAAAAATTCAATTAAATCTTTTAGAAACAAATTAATTGAATTCAATCGTTTAATTGATTAATTCAATTAAAATAAGATAGTTGATGGTTTGGTTAAAATATATAGGGAAATCGATTAAGTTTGTTAATAATATTTTTTGATAAATTTAATTGATTGCTCACCCTAATTTTATATTAATAAAATCCACTAAATGGTTTTAAGATTACTTATATCTTTTCTGTTCGATGTACGCATGGGAAACATTTTTATATTTTTTATATAAAGAAAGCTTGAAAATAGGTTTGAGTGCATCCATGTCCATTTCTTAAAAAATATTTCAATTAAATCAGTTAAAATCGAATTAATTGAATTTAGTTGATTAATTGGTTAATTCAATTAATATACGAAAGTAGATAGATTTAATTAAAATGTATGAAAATCAATTAAGTTGGTTAAAAATATATTTTAGTCAATTTAACCGATTACTCACCCTGTTTTTATATTAATAAATAAATAACATATAAAATTCACTTAAAACTTCAAGATTGCTTACATCTTTTTGTAAGATGTATGCATGGGAAATATTGGTATATGATATTATCGGTTTTCGGCCATTATTTGTTTGCATTGTAATTAAAATATAATTTTCAAGTTCGCTGCCTTGAAATTCAAACTGGGTTGTGGTAGGTCTTACAACGATAAAGAGAATCAAGCCTCATGGGGTTTAGGCCCAAATACCAAACTCTTGGGTTTAATCAACCTCACCTCCTGAGCCATAGTCCAAAAGGCAACAGAGCCCAGCCCATATGAAGGCCCAGTCGCTAACACAGTGCCGCTGGAAATAATCAACAATCATGTAAGTGGACAAAAAAAACAGAGGCAGAAGCCATGAAATTTCTACTAGAATTTGTTTTCGCTGTCCGTTGGGCTTTCTAAAATTCCGTTTTGGCAGTTTTTTCTTCGATTAGGGTTTCATCTGAGTTCTTCAGTATAATCGGGAAATTTCAAGTTCCAATAGTTGTCGTTTGGCCAGGGTTAAACCCTAGAAGACTCCTCGCAAAGCCTCGAGATGGTTAGTTTTCTTCTTACTCTAGCTTCTTTTTCTGCCTCTTAGTTTCTCTATGTACTTTACTTATTTTTGTGGAATTTTCTGTATTTTAATCAGATAGTTGTTTCTCAATGTCTATACTTTTACTGGTTAATTTACAGGCAACTCTCGCTGATTCATTTCTTGCGGACCTTGATGAATTATCGGACAACGAAGCCGATGTTCTCGTGAGTTGGAATTATATTTCTCTTTTTCTTTGTGAATTTCAGCTTTTTTTTTATTTTCTAATTAATATTAATAGCGATATTCATATCAATCTCTTAGGAGGAAGAAAATGATGATGTCACCAACATGGAAGAAGATGTTGATGGTGACCTGGCTGATATTGAAGCCCTTAACTACGATGATCTGGACAGCGTTTCGAAATTGCAAAAAACTCAGAGATACATTGATATAATGCAGGTTGGTTTCATGTCTTAACAATTGATTTTCCCTTCACCTTCGCTATTGATTTCTGATATTTAGCATGACAAGCTCTAATTTTGTGTGTGAAATGATTTGCTGAATCTTCTTGTGCTTAAGTTTGCTTTGACTATTTCCATGCTTAGTTCCCTTTACCATAATGCAGAAAGTGGAAGATGCACTCGAGAAGGGTTCTGATATATCAAATCAGGGAATGGTACTGGAAGATGATCCTGAGTATCAGCTGATTGTGGACTGTAATTCACTATCGGTTGACATCGAGAATGAGATTGTTATTATCCATAATTTTATACGCGATAAGTACCGGTTGAAGTTTCCTGAGCTTGAATCACTTGTGCATCATCCAATTGATTATGCTCGTGTAGTGAAAAAGATTGGCAATGAGATGGATTTAACCCTGGTTGATTTGGAAGGACTTTTGCCTTCAGCTATCATTATGGTTGTTTCAGTTACAGCATCGACTACCAGTGGCAAGCCACTTCCAGAAGATGTTCTTCAGAAAACTATTGATGCATGTGATCGTGCTCTTGCTTTAGATATGGCAAAGAAAAAGGTTCTTGATTTTGTAGAAAGTAGAATGGGATATATTGCACCAAATCTTTCTAATATTGTTGGGAGTGCTGTTGCTGCTAAACTTATGGGTACTGCTGGTGGTCTTTCAGCGTTAGCTAAGATGCCTGCTTGTAACGTTCAGCTGCTTGGTGCAAAGAAAAAGACCCTTGCAGGGTTTTCTAATGCAACATCACAATTTCGTGTCGGTTATATTGAGCAGACAGAGATTTTTCAATCTACACCCCCGGCTTTGAGAAGTCGTGCTTGCCGTCTCTTGGCTTCAAAAGCAACACTTGCGGCACGAATAGATTCTACTCGAGGGGATCCATCAGGGAATGCTGGAAGAACTCTGAAGGATGAAATCCATAAGAAAATTGAAAAGTGGCAAGAGCCACCTCCTGCAAAGCAGCCTAAACCCCTTCCTGTTCCTGATTCTGAACCTAAGAAAAAGAGAGGTGGTCGTCGCTTAAGGAAGATGAAGGAGAGGTAGTTTTGTTATTTATTTATTTACTTTAGCATGCTTTTTTTTTTTTAATCTTGTTGTAGGCATTTGGTTGTGCATTTTGCATTTTGCATATTGCATTTTGCTTATCTAAGATTATATATATATATTCTTTTCAGGTATGCTATAACAGACATGAGGAAACTTGCAAACAGGATGCAATTTGGTGTACCTGAGGAGAGCTCCTTAGGTAAAATTTTGTTTTTAACATCTTCGGAAGATTAAAATTTTTAATATTATTTGTAGTTATGATTGCTGAAAGCTAGTTGTGGGTCTTCAATAGATGTGCAAGCTATGATTATTTATATGCATGCTCGCCTAATTTTTTACATTTTTTCTGTTTATCAAGTGTCTAATTCTGAATCATGTCCATCGAGGAGTTAGTTTCTTGTTGCATTTTCTAGGAGGTGGATATGTTAGTAACTTATTTGAGGAATCAATAATCTATTTCACACTATTTTCTTACTGTTTAAGTACTTTTTGATATTAGGTGATGGACTTGGTGAAGGCTATGGAATGCTTGGTCAGGCTGGGAGTGGAAAACTGCGTGTATCAGTTGGTCAGAGCAAACTTGCAGCAAAAGTTGCTAAGAAGTAGGTTTTGCTGTTCTGTTCTCTTCTTGTTTTAAGACTGCAAGTTTGGAAGCCATTTGTTTTTTTCCTGATCATTTAGTTTTGCTGGGTTGTTTTGGTATTCATTTATCAAACACAAACTTGCACATTGTTCTCTTGGGTGACATTTTCTCTTTCCTTCAGGTTCAAGGAAAAGCAATATGGAAGCAGTGGTGCTACCTCTGGACTGACGTCAAGTTTGGCATTCACACCTGTACAGGTATTTATCTTCTTCTGGTTAGACCATGAACTGACAGAGATGTCAGTATTCTGTTGCCTGGTTTTTTTTTTACTGCACATTTCGCACAGCAAAGGTTTGAGGAGTTTGCCTGCATGGCTTTAACTAGGTGCAAGAAAGGTTTAGTGTTTAGGACTTAAAACAGGGGTTAAAGATTTCAGGTTAAGGATGTTTAAGTTGCTTGAAGCGGAGGTGAAATTACAGAAAAATCCAGATGGGACTAGTTCTTTAAGTTGGTGATTTTTCTTTGTTGACTTCAATAATTGGAAACAGTTCTGGGGTTATGGGAGACCTGCTGTTACAAGGGGAGGGTTTTGGTAAACTTGAAGCAGGTGGCATATGTTATATGTAGAATGTGTTGTATTATGTAATCAATTTTCGATGATTTATCTTTTAGCCTGAGAGATGTGTATGTAATTTACCTCACTAATTTGACTGCATCTTGCGATGTAACTCGGATGCTCTTAAAATATTGAACTTTAACTTTTGATGATGGTTTTCTCCATTTTCCTTGGAGAGTAAGAGAGGGGTCGGCAAAAGTTGAGTTGAACTTCATTTTGCATGAATCAAACATGCATTATTTCTTGTGTGTTTGTGTGTATTATGTGTGTGGGTTAATGATTGGTGTCTTTATGTCTTAGGGGATTGAGCTCACAAACCCTCAAGCTCATGCACATCAGCTTGGCAGTGGAACTCAAAGTACTTATTTCTCTGAGACTGGAACCTTTTCGAAGATCAAAAGGACATGAACCATACTCCATGGAAGCTCTTGCTGACTGCACGCATCATTAGATGGCATCAGTCTAAGGAAACCTGTGTAAATTGTGAAAGTATCACGATTCCTTGAGTTATAGTTTACCTGATGTTTGATTATGCTGAAGTTACCCATTTGATAGAGTTTAATAGACTACCATAAAGATGAATCTTTAGCTTAAGGTTTGATTAGCTGCTTCAATGACATGGAATGTTTGTCCCGCATGAAAGCTGCTGTTCATTCTTTGGCAGTTAATTTTGAAGAACACATATTGTAGCCAGGGGAGTAAGAGATAGATCATGCTCTGCAGGTTTTTCTGGTTTGAGGTGGTTACTAACTGGGTTTTAACTTTTACTTTGTAGCCCATTGAAGTTGTACACTTAATTGTTTCGTTTTGCTGCTGATGTTACTTTAGTTGCCATCTTAGACATATATTGCAGCTGAGGGCAATGAGAGGGATACCATTGCTATTATTCTCCCAATTTTTTATTTTTTAGCTTCCATTATATTACTTTATAAAGATGAGAATGTTGCAGTCGTAGATCCCTTTCTTTGTTTCATTTCTTTCTAGTCCCTTTTACTCATGACACCAATTTAGCCTTTGACATTATACATCAGTGTTAAATGAGAAATAATTAATTTATTTTTATTTAAGTATATGATTAATCGATTATTGTTATTTACTCTTCGTCTACAATTGGGGTTTAAAAACAGTAGGGTTAGGCTTACCTGTATTTTATTTGTTCATGCATCTGTTGGGCGATCATTTGTCAAGATTGTAAGAAATTGATTATTTTTGGTACATCATATGATATTGATTATCGTGAACAATAGTGGCTTAGGAGCAGCTTCATCTTCTCTTTGATCCGGAGCCTCACAGCCGTCGTTTATGTTGTTGGAAACCTATTTTAACATTGGTAATGCAGTCTTTAGACTTTGTCAACCGAATTGGAGGATTGTTTATAGTTACGAAAATTGATAAATAAATTAATTATTAAATGAAAAGTATCAAGTTTTCTTTTAATTTTATTTATAAAATTGAAAAGCTACGCTGTCAGTATATATAATAAGATTAGAGTATAGAATATTATTGCATTATGCCACAAAAGCGAAAAGTTGCTGTAAAACAACTGATTCCTATATTTTTTATGTTTGTCAAATAGATTAAATTGCTAATGCCATCTCGTGCTCCACATGCCAATCCATCCTTCAATGACTTTTCTAGATATTGAGGATTGCATCCCAATTTTTTTTTAAATTTCCAAAGTCGCAATCCCCCACTTTTTGCTACGGCCACTCTGATATCAGTTTGACCATTTTTACATTGGCTGGGCTTTGTAGGTGGGCCCAAAACTCAAAAGGCTTCCCATTTATGGAAAATCCCAAAATTTTACGTAACGTATGTCTAGATTTGTCAAAGTGGCTGTACGTAGATGTAGTTGACTATCCGATTAAGGAAAGTTCCCCTCATTCCACGTCAGAAGAAGATAACAGGGCTGGAAAAGGCCCAACAAAAATCAACATCGTCGGCGTTTCTGGTGGCCTCCATTGGTCCATCATCCGCCGACGCCGCACCCTATCCAAAACTCCCAGAGTCCTGTCCACTCCGTTTTTAATCTCTTTTAAACTTATCCATAGTTGATAACTCCACGCACGCTCCCAAACCCAATAGAATCGTCAGAAATCTGAAAGCGCCACTTTTGTGGGGATTTGATATCTATTTTTATTCTTCTTTTACACTTAAACCAGACCACCCTCAGCTTTTGACTTCCACGTGGCACCATCCACCTGCACAACTAACTCTGAGAAATGTCACCCAACTGTCGATTTACTGTGCCCACTCCCACCACGTTCTTCCTCGGCCTCGGCCTCGGCCTACTTAAAGGGCCTTCTGGCATTGCAGGTTGCTCATGCGATTTGGCTGTCGACAACCCCTCGTTATCTTCTATTAAAAGGGAAAAAAAAAATACGACTAATCTCTTGATTGTTAGTCGTTAGATAATCGAGCATGGCGGCGTCTATGAGCATTTCATCGTTGCTTTCTCGTTCCTTGGCTGCTGCTTCTTCTTCTGCTCTGCGTCGTAAAGGTATTTGTATTGAATTTATTACTTTATTTTTCTGTCCATTTTTTTTAATTGTTTGCTATTGTCTTTTTTAAAAAAAATACAAAATCTTATTCTAAACAACTGGAAAGTTGAACTCTGACTTTTACGAGATATGAATGTTAGCTACGATTGATCTGATCTTTTTTTGACTTTGACGTTCGGTGGAGAATTTTTTTTGTTGTGTTTGTTTGGTTGCTCAGAAAATGTAATAATTAGAAAAAAAAGGAAAATCTTTTAATTTTTAAATCTTGTAACGCATTCTTGTACATACCTCAACAATGAAAAGTCTAAGGAACGTGAAACTGAACACTTACATGGAAACTTTCTCCGTAAAGTAAAAAAAAAAGCTTTGATCGAAAGTTTCCAAAACTTTCATTCCCTTTCATTAGTTAAATTGTACTATTAGTACGGCAGATTTGAACAATAAGGTTTTAGCAACCTGATATGTCGAAGAATTTGATATAGTAGTAACAAAGTTGTGTTTTTTGGATCTGCTTAAAGAGCTAGAAAATTTTTTTTATTGAGTTCTGATTTGTAAGACACACAGTTAATTAATTCGTATGCATGGAGTACTTTCAAGATTCCAAATTTCTAAAGTCACATATCTTCCTTTTTATTTTCCTGCTAACTGAAATGAATACGTTACGGCAACTCACGAGCGGGTACCCTACCCAACTTAAAAGAAAGAAAGAATCCTGATGTAGTAATGTGGAAAACAAGTGCAACTATTACTACCCTACTTTCCCTCTTCCTTTGGTCTTTCATGTTTTGCCATAAATTTATTGGTTAGTTCTTTTTATTTAAAAGTTTTAATTGTTGTGAGCTGAAAATTAAAATGGGTGTTGACTTGTTATTTTTAGTTCTTCCTCACTAATAAATTATTCTTAGTCAATTGTTGAAATATTATTTTTGTTTTCAGGTAGGATCTCTGAAGTGGGCAGAGTGGTTTCTAGATACGGCACTACTTGTGCTGCTGTGGAGAACCCAAATATTCCTGTCAAAGTGAACCACACTCAGCTTTTGATTAATGGGAACTTTGTTGATTCGGCATCAGGTGAGTGTTTTTTTTATTGTACATTGTTGTGAATGTAGCTGTGAATGTTTCATGTACGCGTGTTGTGATTGCTATTCTTCAGCTAATTGTTTACCAAACCTTACGATACAACAGGAAAAACTTTTCCAACATATGATCCCAGGACAGGGGATGTGATTGCTTATGTTGCTGAAGGTGATGCTGAAGATATAAATCGAGCAGTTTCTGCTGCTCGCAAGGCATTTGATGAAGGACCATGGCCAAAGATGACTGCTTATGTAATTCGTAGTTCTTACTTCTTCTGTCATATTAAATAATCTGCAACCCTGTTAAACTTTGTCTATTATCTTCCAGGAAAGATCAATGGTATTGTTCCGATTTGCTGATCTTATTGACAAGCATACAGAGGAACTTGCGATACTTGAGACTTGGGATAATGGAAAGACATATGAACAGGCTGCTAAGATTGAACTACCAATGATCTCGCGTCTAATTCGGTACTATGCTGGTCAGTAAAGTCACAGAAAATCACACCCAACATTTTTGCTATCTCCAGTAGTTTGCTAGTATTTTGTTTGCTTTTATGCAATATCTTACGCACTGAGTTTTTTGGGTTATTCAGGTTGGGCAGACAAGATTCACGGTCTTACAGTTCCAGCTGATAGTTCACACCATGTGCAAACCATACATGAACCTATTGGTGTTGCTGGTCAAATTATTCCATGGAATTTTCCTCTTCTCATGTTTGCTTGGAAGATTGGGCCTGCCTTAGCCTGTGGCAATGCTATCGTTCTTAAGACAGCAGAGCAGACACCATTGTCTGCTCTTTATGCAGCCAAGCTACTTCACGAGGTAGTTTCTTAAGTATATAACCTTTATTTATTTCTTTATCACCACAAGGTTTAGTACCTCATTTTTTTTAAGATTTTACCATCAGCACAACCTTAGGCCATGCTTCTGATTTTTTATTTTCTTAAATTTATATCTTAATTTAAATACATTGATTTCAGATAAACAGTACTTAAAATTCAGTGTTTATTGGTGGTGAAATGTGCAAATATTGTTACATTATTAAGAATATAAACGCAGGTTGTTTAGTGCATGTGGTCGGATAACTTGATAGTGGAATTCCTCATGTTATGCTTAAATGATTATTTATTTATTTATTCTTGATCTTTCATTCTGTCATTCTCACTGGGAATCATTTTCACAGGCTGGACTTCCTCCAGGCGTTCTAAATGTGGTTTCAGGTTTTGGTCCAACTGCTGGTGCTGCTCTTGCCAGTCATATGGAAGTGGATAAGGTACTTTACATCTTTAAAAGAACTAATCAGTTCTACATTTATTCTTGTTTCCTGTCACGTAATCTTGAAGAATTATCAACTTTATCTTTTTTGGGCTCACATACTAATGTCTGCCATGATGGTTCTAAATTCCCCATCTTTGCATGTTATCTTTTTTTGTCTTCACAGCCATAGCTAAGCCAATCTAAAATTAATACAGTGGTGTGATATATATATGACAAAATATTTTTCCCTGTTTTAGCTGATCAATAGCAAAAATATGCATTACAAATATCTCTGTAGTTGGAGAAGGAAAGTTTTGTTAGTAAGCTGTTGTCATCAACTCTGTTTTTAATTTCGCACCTTTCGAGTTAAACCTCAAGTATCAGTTTTCCAGTTGTTTTGTGTTCATGTTTCTTGAAAATCATTAGTTTATTGATTGAAGGAGCATAGTAACAAGGATTGCAATTAAGGCATGCTGAATTCCCCTCTCAACTGTCTCTTTCTGAAGAGTTGATTTGCCACTCATTACCACTGGACAAGTTGATATCCTTAAAAGATTGGTACACTTGTGGAAATAAAACTATAAACCGTGTGCTAAAATTTCTATATATTCTGTGTCTGTCATATAGAATGGGAAGACATGTAATCCAAGAAATATATATTTCATTCCATGACTATTTTAGTGTACCTCTGAGATCAATGTTTACCATTTACAGCTTGCTTTCACTGGATCAACTCAAACTGGAAAAATTGTCCTTGAGTTGGCTGCAAAAAGCAATCTTAAGCCCGTAACATTGGAGCTTGGAGGAAAATCCCCTTTTATTGTATGCAAGGATGCTGATGTGGACGAGGCAGTTGAGCTGGCCCACTTTGCTCTGTTCTTTAATCAGGTATGTCTGAGTAAAGGCTTTTGTAACACCAAACTCAGTTTTGGTATCGAGATTTTTTATTGAGGGTAGTTATAAACCATTTGCAGGGACAATGTTGCTGTGCCGGCTCTCGTACATATGTACATGAAAGTGTGTATGATGAGTTTGTAGAGAAGGCAAAGGCACGTGCATTAAAACGTACCGTCGGTGATCCATTCAAGGCAGGAATTGAACAAGGTCCTCAGGTAA